GGGGGTCTGAATACTTTCCGTACCCACTGTATATATATATTAACATACATTCACGATAATTCCTCTGGGAGCAGAAATTCAATGTCAAATGTCATTGACTATGCAAGCTTTTTTCTATCCCATATATACCAAAACTCAAAAGGTGGTAAAATACCAAAAAATCTAAAGGAGGGTACACTTGATTATAGTTTGCATGGCTAAGTGTTTTAGCAAGTGTGAATCATGCTTTCTTTTCCTAATATGGGTTTATGGGTGAAGATGTTGTAGTGACATTATAAGATTTCAGTAATCTGATGCAGGCTCACAGCTGAGCAACCACTCTTCAACAGACTCCGCAGAACCCCAGCGTTTGCTTACCTACAAAACACTGCAGCTTGTTGTCCCATAAAGGTGCCGCTCTGACCCCATTTGCAACCAGTGCAAAGAATGCTTTCTTCACCTGTACACATCAGTCACATATTTCAATGTTTATTCATTGAATACTTTTTTAATGCAAGTCATATAAACTAAAACACTGTAGTAAGCACATAAGCACACCTGCAGTGTTGTGTCAAAGATGACCAGTTTAGAGCTTGTTGGAATGGCATCGTAGCAGCAGTGACTCATGAAGAACTTGGCATAAACGTCTGAGTCAGGGTCTTGGAGAGGCCCTTGAGAAGGACACAGAGAGGGAAACCCCTGCTGCAGGTCGGTCAGTCTGCAGCTGTGCTACACTCATATAATTATATGTACCCTACTGTTCAAACATCACAAATGCAGTCCAACTCATCTTTTCAAAAAACATAGATGTTTTGCAGTTTCATTTAGAAATTAATCATAGTTATTATGGCATAAAAATGGTAAAACATGGGTCTCCCAGTAAGTTTTTTTTCTCTACTGAAAATCCACAATAGCTCAGTAGAACAATAGAAAACAATAGAAAAAATATTGAGAGATTGATTACATTGGTCAGAAGAAAGAGAGCGATATCAAATTTGCCTTCACTCCATTTGGCAAACTTTGTTACCATATGTAAATTAAACCGTTTTAATAGTTTTGATATTGCAAGATAATTTTGAGTGTTTTAAGTGTTGATAAGTACTGTATATTGATAGCAAAACAAGTTTTTGACCTTGTTATTGGTTCTTAAACTCCTTCAAGGGGAACAAGTGGATTTTTTAACCCACAAAACTTACCGTATTTAGCTTACTGTCACTGAGAAAAACACTGATTCATTAATCACCTTTACATGAAAAATATAAACAAAAAGACTTAAAATATGAGATAGTTTAAAAAATATGCATTAGATACACGATTACAACATTTGAAAAAATTATATATAAAAAAAAAACATTACATAATTTCATAAATTACAGAATTTCAGAGACTATAGTAATAAGAAACACACAAGGTGAACAAAAGATACTGTTATATACCTGTCCTCTTCAAGGAGAGCCCCTCATCCTCCATAAAGGGGAACTACAAACAGAGCAGAGAATAAATGGTCTTTTACTAAAAGGTAATATGCTAAAAAAAAGCAGTTAAAATGAACAGGGACATAGCATCACCTTAAGTAGTTTACCTGTTAAAAAATATAAAATATAAATATTTACTGATTATACAACAGTTAGTTCCGGTCATAAAATTTGATTAACCAACATTTTCACTGTTTGTATCATTCCGCTTGTCTGTGTTTATTCCAGCAGTAGTTATGCTGATTTCTCAGTGACTCTTTCTGCTGGCTACATCATTACGCCAGTAGATGGCGACTGAGTCATTGAATCAAGAGCAAGTCATTGAATCACTCAGCTCAGGGACGCCACTC